AACACAGCAAGGTTGCTGGTTCAAAGACAGACAGGTTACTGATTGATATGTAAAGATACTGTGAAATTGCTGTAAGAAGAGAATGATTGCTAAAATCAAGCTTTTGTTGGTGGATTAACTTAACTTCTTGTGAATTGCATTATGGAATGTCACCTTGCTTGTCTTACTGAACGTTACTAGCTTCTATTGTTAAACTTGTTAAACTATACTTAGCAAAACCCCCACCTATGTTCTCTTCCTGAAACTTCCTGGTCTGGAGAATAAATGTGGGAAGAGAATCCTAATTTGTGGTTAATTTCGTCTCTTGATGGTTCCGGGAGATTAACCCCTTTTTGGGGCTTCTCACTGCTCAGAAGAGATGGGCTTTGAGTAATCTTTGGCAGCTCCATCACCTAGGGGAAAAGGGGTGACAAATCCATGGGAGGCAAAGCAACATAGCTGGGAAATCAGCACACATTCATAGGTGTATGTTGAGAATGAAAAGACAACTCAGCACAATGGAAGCCATGAGAATCTGAAACACTTGCTTATAGCATTTATTTGTGCTTTCAGGACTCCTTCAAGACCAATCTCATATATGTCTCTTTCACTTGATGATGTAGAGCTCCTGTGTATGCTCAACTTTGTGGTCCAGAGGGCTACACAATATCCAGCTCATAAAGGACAGTTCAATTCTCATGGTAACTTGGTGACCTATTCTATAGCCTGGGGCATCTGGAATGTTGGAGAGAATAAATGGTTGTATTTTTACTGATTATAAAGTTTAACCCGATGATGTGGAATGAAGCAGAAGCTGTGAATGCATGAGAAACCAGAAAAGAACACATTTTACAATGGTGGTATAAAAAAGGAACGAAAAAAGTGTAATGCAGTGACTTCAAATGAGCACTTAAACTCACAACATAAACAGATACACATGAAATAGAGATAAATTTATATAAATGACAATAAGTAGTATTATCCATTGGAAAGTTTATTGAAAAATAAACATAAAATTTTCTCACATGACAGTTGTTGGGTTAAGTTATTAATAGGATACGCTATAACAAAGGAAATTATCTTTAATATGTATGATAGTCCAGATGTTTTTGGTCAATTAGGATTGAGATATGCCAAATATGAACTTATTTTTCCAGGTGTCCTAGTATTTGTTATGAGTCATGTGGAATTATGAAAATAAAGAACACTAGAAGCAGAGTGTGAATCAAAAAAAGAGGAATCCAGGCTTAGCTATTCAAAGTGAATCAAAGAAAGAGGAATCCAGGCTTAGCTACTCAAAAAGATCCTCACTGATAGGCCAGTATCTGCCCTGGCAGAACAAGTGATAGTAGCCATATCCTCAGCATAGCCAGGATGATCCTGTGGTCTCTGGGATGGAATCAAGGTGGAAGGAGAAGGCAGCTGGCAGAGGTGCAGGCCACAGAACTATACCTATAAATTCTGGTCCACAGTTCTACAGAGTCTGATAAATTAACATTAGAACATTGCCTCATGGGTTATTGTGAAGTTTATCATGACAGAATAATAGATTATGTCACTTTTTATATGCTATTTGCTGGCTGAAGCATGGGGCTCATATTTTTCTTTTTATAAAATTTCCATCATTGTTATTTGAATGGAAAAAGAAGCGCTATTCTTCACAGACTTTCTTTTTTATTTTATTTTATTTTATTTTATTATTTATTTATTTATTATTTATTTATTATTGGTTATGAATGTTCATGAGACACAAAGCTGGTTGTCACCCCTCATGCCCAAGATGTGAAGGCCAGATTCATACTGGCAGCATGCCCATTCCCACAAATTACGTTTGTACTCTGTGTCCTTCACCCAATTACCCCCAACCTCCCTCTTCCTCCCCCTTTCCCCACCACTCCACTTTGTATTCCAATGTATGTTCTGTCCCTCTGCAAGTCCAGCTTACCACTGTGGTCTTTCCTTTCTTCTTTCTCTCTTAGCTCCCACATATGAGCCAACAGGTACATGAAAAAATGCTCAACATCACTATTCAGAGAAATGCAAATGGAAATTCAAATTAAAACTACATTGAGAATCCACCTCACCCGAGTTAGACTGTCTATAATCAAAGAGATGGGGAATAACAAATGCTGGTGAGGGTGTGGAGAGAAGGGAATGCTCCTACACCATTGGTGGGACTGTCAATTAGTACAACCACTATGGAAAACAGCATGGAGGTTTCTCAGACAACTACAGATAGATCCTCCATATGACCCAGCAATCCCACTTCTAGGTATATACCCGAAGGAGTGGAAATAATCATGTCGAAGGGATACCTGCACTTCGATGTTCATCACAGCTCTGTTTACAACAGCCAAGATACGGAACCGACCTAAATGTCCATTAATGGATGGTTGGATAAGGAAATTGTGGGATCATATTTCAAACTGTAAATTTAATATATTTAGATATATATGGTATGTGGACCCCTGTTTGTATTCATGCTCTCATCACTGCAAATGCTAGCACTGCGCCTGAATGGACACTGGTCTTTTTAAGCAAAAATCTAAAACACAAGAAAAGTGCTGAGGACAGCAGTTTTAGTTTTCTTTCTCTTTTACCCACCATGTCGATCTCTCAGTTTCTGGTACTCTCCTTGTGTCTCTCTGTTTCTCTTTCTATGTTTTCCTCTCTTTCTTACTTCTGTTACACACACACACAAACACAAGGAAAAACTATGAGAAAACATTACAGGAAATGTGATATAGATTTTACTGAAAAACAAGAATTTTTTTTCTTACATACATTTTTTAACCAGATTTAATGAGGAAGTATGATAAAAATATAATAAAAAAGTGAAGGAATTTTTTTTTCCTTTTTGTCTTTTTTACTGATCGGCAACGGGATTGCAACCCTCGGTGCTGCGCCCGCACCATGCTCAACCAGTGAGCGGGAACCGGTCTCCACATGGGATCTGAACCCTCAGCAGGAGCGCCGCCATGCTCCCAAGCGGCGCACTCTCCAGTGCGCCACCAGGCCGGCCCAAAAGTGAAGGAATCTTTTGAAAATAGATAACATAATATTCCAAATGATTTTGATCAATAAAAGTGTCACATTCCAAATCTAAACTATGTTTTTGTAGGTAAACGTACATGAGTGTACCTTGGCAACACGATGAGTCTGATGGGATGAGTAGCTCCAGCAGTTTCTCAGTAGAACCCATAGGATCAGTATCTGCCACAGTAAGATGGGCGGCACCAGCCATATCTATATCTGCCATAGCCACAGCCATAGCCACAGCCATAGCCACAGCCATAGCCACAGCCATAGCCACAGCCATAGCCACAGCCATAGCCACAGCCATAGCCACAGCCATAGCCACAGCCATAGCCACAGCCATAGCCACAGCCATAGCCACAGCCATAGCCACAGCCATAGCCACAGCCATAGCCACAGCCATAGCCACAGCCATAGCCACAGCCATAGCCACAGCCATAGCCACAGCCATAGCCACAGCCATAGCCACAGCCATAGCCACAGCCATAGCCACAGCCATAGCCACAGCCATAGCCACAGCCATAGCCACAGCCATAGCCACAGCCATAGCCACAGCCATAGCCACAGCCATAGCCACAGCCATAGCCACAGCCATAGCCACAGCCATAGCCACAGCCCAGGCTGCGATAGTAATTGCTGTAGTAGCACATGGTGTTAAGATTGGAAGGTTCAGGTGAGCAGCAAGGAGTTATTCCTCTTTGTTTAAATGCCATCATCTGCATGGGGCCTCTTATATACTGTCAGCGGCGGGTGGGGAAAACCACAGGCATTGCTGACCCCATAATTTCAAATAACTTCCTCTAGAAAAATTTGCTGAATCTTTTGATTACTTAGGAAAAGAGAATTCCTCATAATTAAGATTGCTTTTCTATTATATAGTGTCCTAAAATTAAATCACCTAATTCAATAAGGCATTTTTGTTCTATTTTGAAAAACAATTACTTAGTGTATGATTAATTCAGGTTTATTATCAGTTGATCATTCTCTCTCTACTCCCAAGTTAGCACTAGGTCTGAAAGTCCAGGACTGCATTTCCCAAGGTGACTTGCAACACAAGATTCTGCATGAAATTTTACCAAGGAGAGTGACTTGAATAAAATTTCAAAGGCGTTAGAAGGCATTAGAGGTTCTCTTGAGTCTTTTGATTCAGTAGGAAAAATGAGAGCCCTCATTACTAAGATTACATTGCTTTTCCGTCAGAATAATTTCCACCAAATCACGTGCTTTTGTAGATTTTTGTTTCCCCATTTTTTATTGTAAAGCTTACCCATATTTAATTAGTTTAAATGATATGTCCTGATGACTTGGTATGACATAAAACATATAGTCCTTTCTCCAAGTTTTGGTTTGTTGGCCTGTTTGTTATCTAAAAGTAATTTCAATTTCTCAAAAGGCAGTGTTAGAATTGAGATTTACATATGTGAGTTTGTGAGTGCATGGAAGAGACAAGATAGAGAACTGGACTAAAAAAAAAGATCATTTCTGTAATGTGGCACTTCTGAGTTTTAGGGTATATGCATATTAAGCATTTATAGATGCTTCCAAACAGTTTTCATATGGGTTGAGCCAATTTGCATGTCCACTGTTAATGTTTGCAAGTTCTAATTTCTACGCATTCTCAGAATTATTTGGTATATTCATTCTCTTTAATTTCAGCCATTCTAATGGGTATGCAGTGCTATTTTATGTTGTTGTAATTTGCATTCTCTTGCTTTATTGAGGTTGGTTACCTTTTTTAACCTCAATTAATTATTTCACTGGCTAAGACCTATAGTACAGTCTTGACTGCATGTTGTAATAATGGTCATACTTGTTTTGTTACTGACCGGAAGGAGAAAGTATTTTATATTTCAGCATTAAGTATGATAAATAGGCTATAGATTTTATGCATTCTATATTTATCAAATTAAAGAATTTTTTTCCTAGTCCTGCTTTACTGATTCAAAAAATTAGGAATAAATATTGATTTTTAGCATGTTATCTTCATCTATTGCTGTATTCATATAATTTTCTTTTTTCATGAATTTGATGAATTGCACTGAGTTGTCTGATATTAATACAATTTAGGATTTTACAATTTAGGAATATAGCTCCTGGAAATTGGTTTGATAATATCTTGTTTCAGATTTTTATAACTATAATCACAAAATATNAGTAGCTCCAGCAGTTTCTCAGTAGAACCCATAGGATCAGTATCTGCCACAGTAAGATGGGTGGCACCAGCCATATCCATATCTGCCATAGCCACAGCCATAGCCACAGCCATAGCCACAGTGATAGCCACAGCTCAGGCTGCGATAGTAGTTGCTGTAGTAGCACATGGTGTTAAGGTTGGAAGGTTCAGGTGAGCAGCAAGGAGTTATTCCTCTTTGTTTAAATGTCATCATCTGCATGGGGCCTCTTATGTACTGTCAGCGGTGGGCGGGGAAAACCACAGGCATTGCTGACCCCATAATTTCAAATAACTTCCTCTAGAAAAATTTGCTGAATCTTTTGATTACTTAGGAAAAGAGAATTCCTCATAATTAAGATTGCTTTTCTATTATATAGNCAATAAGTAGTATTATCCATTGGAAAGTTTATTGAAAAATAAACATAAAATTTTCTCACATGACAGTTGTTGGGTTAAGTTATTAATAGGATACGCTATAACAAAGGAAATTATCTTTAATATGTATGATAGTCCAGATGTTTTTGGTCAATTAGGATTGAGATATGCCAAATATGAACTTATTTTTCCAGGTGTCCTAGTATTTGTTATGAGTCATGTGGAATTATGAAAATAAAGAACACTAGAAGCAGAGTGTGAATCAAAGAAAGAGGAATCCAGGCTTAGCTATTCAAAGTGAATCAAAGAAAGAGGAATCCAGGATTAGCTACTCAAAAAGATCCTCACTGATAGGCCAGTATCTGCCCTGGCAGAACAAGTGATAGTAGCCATATCCTCAGCATAGCCAGGATAATCCTGTGGTCTCTGGGATGGAATCAGGGTGGAAGGAGAAGGCAGCTGGCAGAGGTGCAGGCCACAGAACTATACCTATAAATTCTGGTCCACAGTTCTACAGAGTCTGATAAATTAACATTAGAACATTGCCTCATGGGTTATTGTGAAGTTTATCATGACAGAATAATAGATTATGTCACTTTTTATATGCTATTTGCTGGCTGAAGAATTGGGCTCATATTTTTCTTTTTATAAAATTTCCATCATTGTTATTTGAATGGAAAAAGAGGCGCTATTCTTCACAGACTTTCTTTTTTATTTTATTTTATTTTATTATTTATTTATTTATTATTGGTTATGAATGTTCATGAGACACAAAGCTGGTTGTCACCCCTCATGCCCAAGATGTGAAGGCCAGATTCATACTGGCAGCATGCCCATTCCCACAAATTACGTTTGTACTCTGTGTCCTTCACCCAATTACCCCCAACCTCCCTCTCCCTCCCCCTTTCCCCACCATTCCACTTTGTATCTCAATGTATGTTCTGTCCCTCTGCAAGTCCAGCTTACCACTGTGGTCTTTCCTTTCTTCTTTCTCTCTTAGCTCCCACATATGAGCCAACAGGTACATGAAAAAATGCTCAACATCACTATTCAGAGAAATGCAAATTAAAACTACATTGAGATACCACCTCACCCGAGTTAGACTGTCTATAATCAAAGAGATGGGGAATAACAAATGCTGGTGAGGGTGTGGAGAGAAGGGAATGCTCCTACACCGTTGGTGGGACTGTCAATTAGTACAACCACTATGGAAAACAGCATGGAGGTTTCTCAGACAACTACAGATAGATACTCCATATGACCCAGCAATCCCACTTCTAGGTATATACTCGAAGGAATGGAAATAATCATGTCGAAGGGATACCTGCACTTCGATGTTCATCACAGCTCTGTTTACAACAGCCAAGATACGGAACCGACCTAAATGTCCATTAATGGATGGTTGGATAAGGAAATTGTGGGATCATATTTCAAACTGTAAATTTAATATATTTAGATATATATGGTATGTGGACCCCTGTTTGTATTCATGCTCTCATCACTGCAATTCATCACTGCAAATGCTAGCACTGAGCCTGAATGGACACTGGTCTTTTTAAGCAAAAATCTAAAACACAAGAAAAGTGCTGAGGACAGCAGTTTTAGTTTTCTTTCTCTTTCACCCACCATGTTGATCTCTCAGTTTCTGGTACTCTCCTTGTGTCTCTCTGTTTCTCTTTCTATGTTTCCCTCTCTTTCTTACTTCTGTTACACACACACAAACACAAGGAAAAACTATGAGAAAACATTACAGGAAATGTGATATAGATTTTACTGAAAAACAAGAATTTTTTTTCTTACATACATTTTTTAACCAGAATTAATTAGGAAGTATGATAAAAATATAATAAAAAAGTGAAGGAATCTTTTGAAAATAGATAACGTAGTATTCCAAATGATTTTGATCAATAAAAGTGTCACATTCCAAATCTAAACTATGTTTTTGTAGGTAAACTTACATGAGTGTACCTTGGCAACACGATGAGTCTGATGGGATGAGTAGCTCCAGCAGTTTCTCAGTAGAACCCATAGGATCAGTATCTGCCACAGTAAGATGGGCGGCACCAGCCATATCTATATCTGCCATAGCCACAGCCATAGCCACAGCCATAGCCACAGCCCAGGCTGCGATAGTAATTGCTGTAGTAGCACATGGTGTTAAGATTGGAAGGTTCAGGTGAGCAGCAAGGAGTTATTCCTCTTTGTTTAAATGCCATCATCTGCATGGGGCCTCTTATATACTGTCAGCGGCGGGTGGGGAAAACCACAGGCATTGCTGACCCCATAATTTCAAATAACTTCCTCTAGAAAAATTTGCTGAATCTTTTGATTACTTAGGAAAAGAGAATTCCTCATAATTAAGATTGCTTTTCTATTATATAGTGTCCTAAAATTAAATCACCTAATTCAATAAGGCATTTTTGTTCTATTTTGAAAAACAATTACTTAGTGTATGATTAATTCAGGTTTATTATCAGTTGATCATTCTCTCTCTACTCCCAAGTTAGCACTAGGTCTGAAAGTCCAGGACTGCATTTCCCAAGGTGACTTGCAACACAAGATTCTGCATGAAATTTTACCAAGGAGAGTGACTTGAATAAAATTTCAAAGGCGTTAGAAGGCATTAGAGGTTCTCTTGAGTCTTTTGATTCAGTAGGAAAAATGAGAGCCCTCATTACTAAGATTACATTGTTTTTACGTCAGAATAATTTCCACCAAATCACGTGCTTTTGTAGATTTTTGTTTCCCCATTTTTTATTGTAAAGCTTACCCATATTTAATTAGTTTGAATGATATGTCCTGATGAGTTGGTATGACATAAAACATGTAGTCCTTTCTCCAAGTTTTGGTTTGTTGGCCTGTTTGTTATCTGAAAGTAATTTCAATTTCTCAAAAGGCAGTGTTAGAATTGAGATTTACGTATGTGAATTTGTGAGTGCATGGAAGAGACAAGATAGAGAACTGGACTAAAAAAAAAAGATCATTTCTGTAATGTGGCATTTCTGAGTTTTAGGGTATACGCATATTAATCATTTATAGATGTTTCCAAACAGTTTTCATATGGGTTGAGCCAATTTGCATGTCCACTGTTAATGTCTGCAAGTTCTAATTTCTACGCATTCTCAGAATTATTTGGTATTTTCAGTCTCTTTAATTTCAGCCATTCTAATGGGT